ATACAAACAGTCCTGGTTCAGCCCCCCAGCGCTCCTCACTTCTTCTCCGTGCACGGAATCTCCACGGCTCTTTATACTGTACTTCTGTAGAATAAGATGCTTTTACAGGTGAGTTTCATTGTTGACAAAAGCGTGCGTTGCATGCTGGGAATTATTTTGGTCGGCGGCAATAAACACTAATTCAACATGACGGACGGAGCGAGAAAGCACGTAAAGGGTATTGATCCCAGTTATTTATCCACTCTAACGGCAGAGGACCCAAGACCATTTGACCAGAAATTGGTCATAAGCATCGATGGAGCCAAATCACCCTTTTCAACCCCAAACCAAAATTCTGGTCAGAATCGCCAACTACCTGGACAAATATTCACTGTGGCGATATCCACAATGACTTGGTGGAAACTCCTGGGCCATTCACAGCAGAAAAGATGAAAACCTCCAAGAGTCTCGATGTGTTGTTGAACTTGTTGGAGTCCACGGTTTGTTAGGATCTTCTACGTTTGCTCTGCGGATGTTTGAAAGCCGTTTAATTCACCGTTAGCGGTTCTTTTCACTCAGAATACGAAAAAGACATTTTCCTTCTTCCATGCTTCTATATGTGCATCCGATAATGCAGCAGGAATTTACCATTATCGGGGATAAATACGCAAGGTTACGCACTGTGTTTGACCGCTACCGTGTTTCTTGCCTCCAACCAAAATATTTCCCAGCATGCAACACTGCCTTTTAATAACAATGACGTCAGCTGAAACTTGCCTATAACCATAAATAGTTCTTGCACTATCTGCCACTGGATTATAACTATATCCAGACACAAGCAAAGTATGTTTTAGGGGTGTAACGGTGCACAAAGATCACGGTTCGGTACGGACCTCGGTTTTGAGGTTAGGATTCGGTTAATTTCGGTACAGTTTGGGAACAAAATACAAAACCATTTACTTGTGTGTTTATTTGTGTGTGTATTAAACCAGCTATTTGTTTTAACATTATACAAACAGGAAAATAAAATAAATGCGAAGTGCTGTTTGATAATATTAATAAGTTAAATAAAATATTCTCAAATCAGCAATTTAAACGTAATCCTATTGTTGTGCAATTAAAGGTGGATTCTGTAACTTGTCTGGTAGAGGGTACACCGTTTGTCTCCATGGAGATGTTATTACTTTGACGGAAATCACCTTTGAATTGGTCTGATTGCATGAAAATATATATAAGTTTAATGTCATACTGTGAAATACAACATCTCCATGGAAACACACTGGTGGCAGACCCTCCATTATAAAAGTAACATAATGCACCTTAAGAAATCTGATCAATAAAGACAAAAGTGCGTTCAGGTTGTTAAGTGGACTTGTTTGGACGTACAGGAGGTCATTAAACATCCGTGATTGTTTCTATATTTACTCCAGAGTGACTCATTTAATACCGTAACTGTCAAACTCTTACGCACATGTCACCAGGGCAGCGCATCAGAAGAAGAACACAACAACAGAATGATACAATGGAAAATAAGAACAATAAGAACTGTCAAAATGCATCTGAGTTCGTTTATAGTGACAGACAAGACGAACTTTGTACTAGTTTTTGTTTTTTCATGTGGATAGGCCCAGTAATTACACAGATATGAACCGTAAACCGGGTCAAAACGTCAACATTTTGATAATTAAATGACAAATTGTACGATTCTGAGGTTATATTTAGATTTAAATTAATTTTATTGATCCACAAGGGCAATTATTTGGACACATAGACTCACACATCACAATATAATATAATAACAAAGAGAAAAAAATATATAAATACTGTAGTAATAATAATAAAAAAAAATTCTAAATAAGTAGCAATAAAAAAATAAAAATAAAATAAATACAAATAATACATAAAAATAATAAATACATAAATAAATACATAAATAAATAAAATAGCAAGAGACAGATGTCAATAATTATATAAATGTTTATGTACAAGTCAAAAAAAAGAAAAGAAGTAATAAAAAATCTCATAAGTCATATACAAGGTTATTATCTGTTAAATAAAGGTGAGTTGCTATACAGTTGTAGGGAGTATTATCTGTTACATACGAGTGAGTTGTTGTACAGTTGTAGGGAGTATTATCTTTTACATAAGGGTGAGTTGTTGTACAGTTGTAGGGAGTATTATCTGTTACATAAGGGTGAGTTGTTGTACAGTTGTAGGGAGTATTATCTGTTACATAAGGGTGAGTTGTTGTACAGTTGTAGGGAGTATTATCTGTTACATAAGGGTAAGTTTTTGTGCAGTTGTAGGGAGTATTATCCGCAATTAAAAACATCTACATTTACATCTGAAACAAAAAGATAGTGTCAATATTAAATAAATGCTTTCATTAAAATGACTTTAAAGCTGCACTGTGTAACTTTTCTGCTGGAGGTTACGTTATGGCAACTGCTCGTCTCCATGGAGATGTTACTAAACCAGTCGATCGCCATGGAGACGAGAAAATGCCACATGTATCATTGTT